CCAAAGAGCCCCAACCGGGCCCAAAAGGGTCCGGGTGGGGGGGAAAAGGGGGGGGGGGGGTCCAAGGAAGTGGGCTGGTCTACCTGGAGGAGGGAGCGATGAAAGAATAGCACTAGCAGCTGCAGTAGGTCGTAACGGATGTAGTTGTCAGTCTTCTCCACGCCCAATATGCGGGACGGGAAGAAAGGCTTGTCCTCGTTCAGCTTGGTTGTGAAAGCGCTGTTCCAGGGGAAGAAGCCAAACTGGAACATGTATTTCACCACCACCATGACCTGGGAACAGCCAGACCAGAGGGGATCGTTAGACTCTGTTTCCCGATCAAAGGGGAAAATGCTCTGAATTACTATGTAAGTAAATGTTTGTGAAAGTTAAGCTGGCTGGAGAACACTCCAGCAAAACAAAGACCAAATAAGGGTTTGAAAAACATGTACAGCTGAGAAAAAACAGACCTAATCTTTTCATACCTTTCATCTTGCTAAATATATGTAACCCATTTGGCAGACCTGGATTTCACTGGGCCACTAAAGCAAAGCAATTTGCGTAAGGCCACATGGGAATTGTCAATCCTGGGGCTTTAGGGGTGCTTAGGCTCAGAGTTCCATCCCTAAAGAACTATCACTCCATGTTGAGTTTCACAGAAATGGTTGATCGTTTGATTCCTAGTCTCTGAGAGACCCACCTCTGTGAAGACGATAGCGGTCATCCAGAACTTTTTGGTGGGCCGTGGCACAGCCAGCATGGCCCAAAGGAAGATGAGGATGGGCAGGACCAGGGAGATGACGGACGCCGTCACCAGGTTGTTCAGGACGATGATGAAATAGCACACCAGTTCGGAGTTGGCCGCCAACAGGTTGTAGAGGGCAAAGAGAAACTTCAGGGCTCGGTTCTGAGAAGAATAGAACTGCTGACTCTGGACCAGCTCTTCCACAAAGAAGCGTCTGAAACAGACACCAGGGAAACTGAAATACATGGTACTAACATAGGAGATACAGGACATTATGTTACATGTTATATGGAAGTGATTGCTGAGATGGGGTGTCTGGAAGGAAGTGGGTTTTTGATCAACAAGAAGATCTTGATTTGGGTCCCATATACACTGATTATGCACTTAACATGAACTACTTAAGGAAAATCCAGCGGTTAATCTCAGTCGTTCTTGATCATTTTTTATCATCACAAAGCCTCAGCTAAGCAAGTAAGTTGGCTAAATAAGGAGAAGGGAATGATCTGAAATCACGGATATGTGGCACCTGTCAGTGAGCAGCTCGCTGGCTGTCCTGCAATGGCGGTACCGCGGACTGGGCTGAGATTCTAGGTCTGGTTCCAGCTCCAGCTCCAGAGTGGGCTCGGAACAGAGGGTGGTGCTGCTGTAGCCAGTAGTCTGGAGGGTCGTTCTCCCTGTGCCGCTCAGATCCAAATGGCTGTTAAGGAAAAATGGTCAGTGCAACTCAAGGGTAGCTGATTTCCGCTCAGAGCAGATGCCTTAAAATGGGCAAAAGGGATTGTACTTCAAAAACAGTGTATAATTCCAAAGTCATTGCAGTAGAGCAGATTACAGTAATGGGATGCAGTAAGTATGCTTGCATGTGTGGGACTTGCCCATGCATATACACATGGCATGGAACCACTGGCCCCATGCTGAAAGCTGATTGGCCCGCAAAGTGCCCACTCCCCTGTCACTCACTGATTCAAAACACATCATTGGCTAATAAAATGATCCCTTCTAGTTTAACTATGGCCTCTGTTATGCCCCCCACCTTAAAAAAAAATCCTCATTATATAATGTCCACATGTACCTGGTTGTGCTGACATCAGCATCCAACTCATCCAGACAGGTCTCCATGGTGGGGCTCTCACTGCCCTGTGATACCTGGTCCTCCTGTGGCTCCTGGGCCAGCTTCTGCAAAGAAAACCACATACCTCTGACACAGTCCATCTCACTGACCTTCTAAGATCACTGCTCCTCCCGGGTGGTCATGGGACACGGTCCGTCAAGTAGGCAGTGCTCACCTGGTTATGGGTGTGGAAGTAGCGCTGGTAGCAGAGGACAGTGGAGGTGTCCACGTACTGTTTGGTCAGAACATTGAGCCACTGCGTCAAGCCGTCCACCATGGCCATCAAGAGCACCCAAAGGAATCGGAGGATGTCCAGGATCTTCTGCACGATGTCACTCCGCCCTGGGTGACAGCAGGGTCAGTAAGGCCTTTTAGGGAAAGCAACGGTGCTGCCTTTATGGTAGTTAAGGAGGACTTGACTTGGTTCAGCGTGAAGTAGTCATGCACTGTCAAGACTTCCAAGGAAAAATGATTAAGCAAATGTACATACCGTACTCTAAAGCATAAAATGTTACTGTAAGATAAGTACTATTAATAATTATGTATTATCACTGAAAGAACAGTCACCTGAGTCTTCATCCTCTGGCTCCTCATCTTCCTCGCCAGTACCTTCCGGCTCCTCACATTCCATTCCTTCATGCACTGCTGAGAACAAAGTAATGTACAGGACTGCATAGGGTGTATCTGTTTGTGCAAGTTCATTGCATCTGTGGTTTTCCTCACATGTGTACATATTTATATTGACATTTTTCAAATGGTTTTTGATGTATAAATGAGGCAAATAGCACAAATGTATGACTGTCGAGGAGCCAATTAGGCATAAGTGCAGCTATGCTAAGCTTCAAGTGTGTCTGTGTGTGTGTGTGTCTGTGCCTGTCTGTCTGCGCGTGTGTGTCTGTACCTGTCTGTCTGTCTGTGTGTGTGTGTGTGTCTGTGCCTGTCTGTCTGTCTGTCTGTGTGTGTCTGTGTGTGTGTGTGTGTGTGTGTGTGTGTCTGTGCCTGTCTGTCTGTCTCTGTGTGTGTGTGCGCGTGTACATGGGGCCGGACCTGAGCTGCGCTGGCGCTCCTGTTCCTCTCGCCTCTTCTCCCGAGCTTTCATGTGCAGCTGCCGATGCCGCAGGGCTGCTCTGGCATTGGTTTCCCAGGCGTGATACGCCAGCTGTGAGCAGAGCGCCGGTCAGACCTCAGGACGCAGCCCCACACAGCACCAGCGGGAGACTAGGTCCACACTCTCACCTGGAAGGCACTCTGCCGAGGTGGTTTTGGGTCCTCAGCCACGGATTCCTCTTCTTCCTCACTGTCGGACTCAAACAGGTAATAGTCCCCAGAATGCAGCACTACATATCAGAGAGAGACACACAGACAGGGACCCTTCAATTCTGCACACTATCCTGCTATGACGCGACACTGCACCATGATGGCAGCAGAGAGTTACTATAGAAGGGGACTGAACATGTAACCCGTGGAATTTCCCATATGTTGTTTCCATGCAAGTCCTTCTTGATCCAAAACCCCTTTCATGCCGACATGCGTTGTCCCCCTAGAAACACTAGCACATGCCTGTACCCAGGCTGTTTCCAGCATATCACAAATACTCTCTTATCAGTCTTTTCTGAATGACAGATAGTATCAGTGCTTGGATGAAAAAACTGTCCTTTAATGCAGCTCTATAGTTTTGTTTGGCCTGAGACAGAAAACGAAAGCAGATGTTAGATGCAGACAAAACAAAATCCCAGAGAGGTCTGGCGAAGGCTGGACTGCAGCTGCCGAAGACCCGGCTGAAGTGTGTATTGGCACTGCGTGAGGCCTCACTGCGCTTCTTCGAAAAGTAAACAGCAGGTGCAGGCACAAGCGAGACACAGTCCGATAAAAGAAAAAAAGTCCAATCGGTCCAGCAATAACATTTTAATTCAGCAAATGTGACACATAAATAACACGCACGGTTTTTTAACGTATCTGCAAAAACAATTCCCACCAAGTGCAGGAACCGAACTGTCGGGCTGCTGGGAGATACGTGAAACCTCAGGTTTCCATCCTCGGAAATCAGCCGAAGCGGTTTGATGCACAGACCTGCGATCACGTCGGCTAGCAGCCGGTCGACTGTCTGACAAGACCGTCTCTGAATGCCAGGAACAACAAACACAGCGAGGCACACGGAGAAATGAAATAAACACTGCAGCGCATATGTGAGGATGAGCGCGCGCGCGCACACACACACACACACACACACACACAGCTGTATTTTCTATAGACTTGCCGTTTGACTCCTAAACTCTAAACCAACGAAGCAGATGAAAATTTTGTATAAAAAGATTAAGACGACTGATGAAGTTATAAAAAGATATTTTTTTTGTGCAGAAAGGTGTTTTTAGAACAAAATCAGCAGGTACTTAAAGCTGTCCACACACAAAGACGAATACAAGCACACACAACTGATGACTACATATGTATAAATGAAGATGAGGAAATGGGCACACACCTGTCGCGTGATCTAACCAGGGACGCCACCATGTCTTCTGCTTGGATGCCTGCTCTGGGGTGTCATAAGGAGCATGAGACCAAACGGTTTAGAGATCCGATCCATACCCCAAATCAACACTGGTACAGCAAATGCCCAATTACCTGCTAGTTTTTCTTGCCTTTTTAAAGCTATCCATAAAACCATACGACAACAAATATAACTCAAATTTTATCCATTGCATGCATTCCAGCTATATAACCTTGCTTGAGGGGCCGAGTACCTGACTCCTCTGCAGCCGAAGCCTTTGAAGACTGAAGTCCTTCCTTATACTTCTGCTGCTTCGATCGAATGCGCTCCATTCTGTAGGAAATGACATCTACGTTATACGTTAATTCACTCCATGTTGGTCCTCCAGGTGACCGAATCAGTATTTGAATCGGTTACTTGTAGATCATACTTTTATAATTCACTTGAGAGGTCATCATTTAAAATAGTGTATAATCTACTCATACATACCTTGTATACAGCACCATATTCCATAATTTTTTTCAATTCATATTTATTGAATTTTTATGCCTACTCCTTTCATTCACTGCAGCAAAGACCGCACCATTGGTGTCATGAAGCAGCAACTGACAAAATCAACAACCTTCCACGTAAGCCACTAACAATGTGCACTCAATATTTCCTGAGGTTCCGCTGAGTATCTCACTCTGAAATTTTGAATTCACCCTCAGACACAGGAAACTGGACAGTAGCTCAGAACATTTCCTCAGAAAGCCATGAAACAGGCAGAAGCACTGAACCAGACATGTCCTGTGGACATCTGCAGGAGTTATAAAGAGGACCCTTTCATCCAGGAAATAAATGGAGCGACTCACGATCTCTTTAGCTGTCTCAGGGAGCGCTGCTCCGCCTGCTGGTGGAACCTCATGTTCTTCACGATGCTGGCCCTGAAGAGCTCAAAGCCCCTGTCAGAGCATCACACAGAGGCTTCAAATTGAGCAACAACTCAGTCATGCAAACAGAAGAATTACCCCTGCAGTCCTGACACTTACAATGCAAATCTGGTAAACACTACATCGACTCTATAGTGATATAACCATATACAGTCCAGGTACAATGGATTTGGGTATAAGCTCATTCAGAGATGCAGAAGAGCACATACTTGGAGGCTTGTAGTGCAGAGGCCTGCAGATCTGCAGTCACGTGCAGGAAGTAGAAGCTGAGGAAGACTCTCCTCTGGAGTAAGAGGAAGAAGAAGCAGATGCTATCCCAGATGATCCCAGCCTCTTCCACAGGAAGCACGCACTCCTGATTACTCGCTGCGTTGACTGTAACACACATACACACAGTCAGACACAAGGGTAGCCCTGACGGTTATGATGCTCTAAACTGCGGTGGTGGCGGAAGATGTACTTACAGTCATAACCCTTGACGGTGCATACCAGGCTGAAGAGCTGGATCACCCAGCAGAAGCTCTCTTGCAAGTGCTCCACAAATACACACGCCAGGATCTGGAGGTGGTTGACACATGTGAACACATATGCATACGTCACTACATGTATGTTTTTTACGGGTAGCATGTATGACAGCAAAGTCAGGATCTGTGAAAGGACAGGGATTGCAAAGCTTCCGCCGACTTGGAACATGTCACCCAGGGGAAACAGTTCAACACTCACCGAGAGTACATTCTTGGACATGATGACTGCCACGTTGTACATGATCAGGCAGTCCCACAGCACCAGGCGAGTTCGGGCAGGTTTGATCAGCAACTGAGTCCCAAAGAGCAGGAAGTAGAAGCAGGCCAGCAGGTAGCCCAGCCCGAAAATGCTGATGCGTGTGGCCCCAGTCACGAACACCACAGCCAGCACGAACCAGAACATGTGGCGGAAGACCAGCACCTTGGCCATGTCCAAGTAGCATCTGACAAAGAGATTGTGACAGAGTGGTGAACCTGAGGTGAGGACTGGACACACTACTGGACTACTACAGACAAGCCAAAAAAGTTCTGCGGATGCTTTTACTAGCACACCTGCAGTTGATGTAGTTGGGCACAGGATTCACAGGTCTATCTTCCATTGGGTTGGACTTGTCAGTGTTCTCTCCACCAAAGACCATCCACTCCTCCTTCTTCTCATCCAGGAAGATCTTCCATTGCTGTGAGGCGCAAATCAGCAGGAGGAAGTCCGCTATGCAGACAGAGGAGGTGCAACTTTAGTCCACAACGCATCACATGCAATTTTGATGTTGGCACCAGAACCATGGAGTGGCACCAATACTACTGTCTGTCCATTTTGGGGGTCACAGACTCACCAATGAGGTTTCTAGAATTTGGAATAGTGTAGAAATCTGGTAGGTAGATCCACTTGATCAGGTTAGAGCTGATGGTGATGGACGATTTCCACCGCCAGGGATAATCTAAACAGACAGAGTTACTCCACTTAAGGGACGTGCACATCATAACTGTGAACAACAGGGAGATGTTATATTTACTGACTGACTAAGGGGGCAAACTGACTACATTCATTCAACAAAGCACATTGAACAGCATAAATCAGCTCAGTTTAGATGCTTTGCTTGCAGAGGACAGTCACCTATACAGAGGACTGGGGGGATTCCCACACACAGGATGTACTGGTAGATCATAAAAAACACAAGAAAGAGGCAGTATTTGGGCCAGATCTTCGCAATAGCTGCCCGCTGACGCCGTGTCAAGATTATCACCAGCCAGCAGCCGTGGATTATGACTACGAAGTTCATCCGTTGGCCAATCACATTCACTGTCATTAGGAAACAGATCTGAAGGCAGAAACAAAATTTTAGAGTTGAAAAAAACCATTCTGATGGATTAAAAAAATGTTTATTAAATACCACCACTCAGTTATTTCAGCACTACCAAATAAGGTTATACAGTGTTTCAAAATATTAGAATATGATTTCGGATTTTATTTTAGATTTTTATTTTACAATACGTCTTGTCATGTTTTGTACCTCCAGGCCAAACTTGTAGAAGGTGAAGTTGAAAAGGTATTTGATGCAGGTTAGCAGGTCCTGGTCCAGGTTGTCCCGGTTGGCATTGGGGAAGATAACTGGAATTGGGGGCGGGGAGCACTGGTGCTGTTTGTAGTGGTGTGTCTGGTGGCGGTACACCGTAGCCTCGAACACTAGTAGCATTAGCACCAGGAGGTGGTTCTGAATTACAATCACAAAAAAAACGACAGGATCTCTTCAACCACAGCATCACGGTTCCAGGTTAATAACTTTGACTTCTGCAATTTAATGCAGTTTATGGGAGGTGAAAAGTCTCAGCAATAATGTACTACACCCAGTGGCAGACCTAGAACCCCAATGCGCCCACAGAACAATCTGAATATTTTGGAGCATTGATTTAACAAGGTGCCGGAAGCTTATGGAGTTTAGTCCATGACTTGTAGACACCCTATTTGCTTTGACAAGTCTGGCCATTCCCCTTTGACCTCTCTCATCGGCCAGTTGTTTTAACCGAATTCTTTCTGTTTATGGCACCAACTGCTGTAAACGCTAGACAATGTACCACAATAACATTCCAAAATGGTGCTAAAACCAACATGCCTGGCACCAAAAACCACAGCACATTCAAAATGGCTGAGATCATGCATAGTGCCCTCTCCAAAGCTCTGGCGAACAGTAACTGAACCTTTTGACCGATTGTAGGAGCAGGCAGTTGGAGTTAAAGAGCAGGTATAGATAATGAAGTGGCCACTTAGTGTATATTCACTGGGCTCATGACAGAATAGTATGATTTCAGTCATCATGCTGCTATCACTGGGACTGTATAACCAGAGGTGGAGATTTCAGGTCCAGAAAGTATAAATCCAGACCAAGATTTTCTTTCAACCAACCAGTTCAGTATAAAGAGTCACAGTCATGGAGTATTCAACTGGTTGGTTGAAACTAAATCTTGGTCTGGATTTGTACTCCCTGGACCTGAAATCTCCACCTGTGTGTATACCCTAATGCCTCTCTATGTTCCCACGAATGTTCTTAATGTTCCACTTATTAGGCTCTTGCTTTGTCGGAAGATGTTCTGTAGCTCTTGCTCCAAAACTACTTACCTTTTTACCTGGGCATTCATTGGAAGTTCAGCCTAACTACTCCTCAACCGCACTGTAAAACAGCTGCAACTCTATAAAACAGGGGCTCCCAACTCCCTGTCCCAGACCGGTCCCGACCAGCAATCGATCCACTGGTACCCCCTGCCCATTTTACTGGTCTGTCCAATTTCTGTATGATGTAAACTAGTCTGCAAACATCAAAATTTTAGTAAAGTTTAGTAAATTAAATTTAGTAAACAAAACAAAAAATTATATGCTAAATGGTGTATTTCTGTCAGACTACAAACCACAAAATGAACTGCAGTGCTGTCCGACCGATTAAGTACTATCGAACCTTGAGATTGGGTACCCTCCCGTTTTGCTTCATGGGCACGGACAACGCATCTCACCTTGCTGTACCCGAGAGCCGTTGCCTCCTTCCTGAATCCAAACCAGTTGGCTGGATCTATGGGCTCCTTGTAAAGTGTGGAGTTCAGTAACTCATCATCCTTCATGTTGGTTTCATTGGAGAAGGGCTGCATGTGGGCAAGGAAACATGCCATGAGCAAACTGAAAGAGGAGTTTAGACAAATGCATTCTTTCTGTTAAATTAACTCTTCAGAACAAACAAGGAAGCTGTAGTCACTGGGAATGCCGCTACAAACAAGGAGCACGTGAAGCCGTAATCTCTGCCTGGGCTGACGTAAATTCCCAAAACAGACAAGAGGGCTCTTTCTTTAATACAGCCACTAAATCCACAGATAAACACCTTAGCAGATTTTTAGCATGATAATGCCTGTAATTTTTTGTAATTAAATTTGTTTTCACTCCAGCAGTACTGGTCTGTTCTGAAGGTATTTCAGTCTGTGTTTGTGTGGGCTATCACGAAACCATGAATGAGCCATTCTCTTTATTTTAAGCACGGTGGAATAGAAATGTCAGATTGTGTGTACATAAATAGGGATTTATGTCTTCTCGTTCTCGTTTTTACACACCAGGGTACAGTTGCTAGAATACTCCACAGGGTTGACAACGCTCAGCTGATAGAGCATCTTGCAGACGATGATGATGCACACCCAAACGGTGGACAGGCAGGAGGCCATGTGCCGGAAACGGGAGTACGGCATGGCGAAGGCCCAGAGAACCACCAACACCAGGTTCATCACCGAGGGCTGAGGGAACAAAGTTTGCATCAAGAATTGATGGTGTTGGGTGGGAGCTTAAACAGTACCAGGCTTAAAACACACGTTTCAGATGCTTCATATCTGGTCCAGAACCCTGACCTCCAACAGTGCCACCCAGATGATGAAGAAGGCTACAATCTTGAGGATGTGCAGCTCCAGGACTCTCCAGATGAAGGCCTGCACCTGGGTCTGGACTTCTGAGAACTTCCTGAAGAGCACCATCAGCCTGTCCATCACTAGGCCCCACTTGCTGGGAATCATACCTTGGTGGACAGGAAGAGGGGGAAGAATCACTTAAAGTGAAAGATGAGAAATACAGGAAAGCTTAGGCTTAAAATCCAAGACACCAGGGTTAAAACGCAAGAAGGGTCCACAGGAGATAAGTCATACTTCCTTTATATACAGCTCTGGAAAAAATTAAGAAACCACAGCAAAAATGTCACTCATTTCTCAATTTATGGGTACGTGCCTTTATAAAATATGCATTATTTTTTTGTAAACTCCAGCCTGGCTCTTCCCTGCTTCTCATTGAAGAAGGGCTTCTTCCTTGCTTTACGGGACTTCAGTCCTGTTTCTAGGAGCCTGTTACGAATTGTCCTAGCAGTGCACTTCACACCACTTAATGTTTCCCATTCTTTATGAAGGTCACTTGAGGTCATCCTCCAATTTATGAGGCACTGCAGGATAAGTTGACGGTCATTTCTGGCATTAGAAAGTTGCTTCTGCCCTCTGCCTGGCTGGTTTTTAGTTATTCTCAGTGTCTCCTACTTCACGTTGCTCCTGTGTGCTGCTGTTTTGGAAACTTTGAGCTGGAAGCGGCCTGCCTCACAGTGTAACCTTCTTCCAGCGGAACCAAGATTAAACCAGGATTTAAAAATATAAAATTTCTTAAAAATAGATAGTGGTGTCTTAAATTTTTCCCGAGCCGTATAAGCCAGGACAAAAATCCTAAATCTCATCCAGTCCTTACAGACATCATGGAGTTCGTTTTGGTATTCTCACCTTCATCCTCAGAATCATCGCCCCCTAAATCGGTCTCCTGATTCTCCTCTTCAAACCCGGTTTGTACTGTGCCTTGTAGTGTCTCTGATCTGCGGGCATGTTTCTTCCTGCGGGGGTGTCGGCACAATAAGAATGTGTATACACTGCTCAGAATATCACGCAGGAATAAACCAAATGATGGGAGTATCCACTGAGTCGGGTAAGACAGCAATAGGACTGAGCCTGACGTGGAGCAAAGGGTGAAGACAAGTAGCTGCAGGCCCTACTTGTGAATCGGTGTGACGTTCTCCAAATCGGTGATCTTCATGAAGGGCTTATGGAAGTAGTGCAGCTGCAGGATACAGGCCAGCAGGAAGAACCCTGGGATGAGGATGCTGGTGAAGAGCTCTGACAGCTGGAAAGTCTCTAGGCCGATGACAGCCAACCTGCATAAAGGGCAAGTGGGGTCTGAAACTACACAGCTGTCCCTTCAAACAAACTCTGCTTTGTCACAATGGGGCAGGAAAGCCCAACTCTACCTGGGGGGCTGTACGGTATCCTATTCTTTCCTTAGCTCTTAATTGCTTCAATTAATAATTTGCACAGAAGTCATCTCACCATGTATCAAGTGCATTGGCAGTATTTCAGAATGAATTATAAATCTGTAGGACCGCACACCCTGAGGCTCAGTATCAAATTCTCCTTAATCCAAAGCACAGAACTAGATTTCATTCATCTATAACATAAAAAAAAGTTTGTCATACTGCTTTTCTGTAAACCCAGTGAAGTTCTTCCAATAGGCAGGAAAGTCCTCAAACTGGAATGTGTAGATGGCGATGAGAACCAGCATGGTGTAGGCTACCACCAACCACCAGAAGACCTTGAGTAACTTTCGCCACAGAGAGTAGTACACCTAGGAGTAGGAACATCACAGTCAGGGCACAGGGCTGGTGACCAGTATGGATGAAGCCAAAAGAATGTCAAAGATAAAGATTTGGTGGGGAGTTTCTTCACTAAGATTGCTGGATTTAGACTACAGTGATGAAAACCATAGTAGGCAGAGATAAAAAAAACTTGTGATGAGTGACAGCATCTCATGGTCAGAGACTAGGGGTTCAGATTATGTGCAAGAGAACAGAAGACTTGGGTGGAGTTTAGGGTGTAGCCTACCTGATAGAGACAAAGGCAGAGCAGGAAGATCAACATGTAGACAATCTTGTAGCCAACCAGCTTGCCAGCAAAGCTGACCATGATGAACATGCCGCCACACACATAAATCCAATACTTGGCATAGAAGCTCATAGCCATCTCTCCCAGCACCTTCAGGATGGACTCACTCTGCCCGGCATTCTCTAGGGCCAAAAAAAATTTACATTCTTACCTTGGATGTAAAATTTCAGCTAGTTCAGTTGTTAGGAAGGTATGAAGATGAATGATGAGGCACAGTAATGCAGCCATTCCAAGAAAAGCTCCACGTTTGTGTCTCCTTGCCAGGTATTTAAGGTACCACATTCAATGAGTAGAGGGAGTGCAGAATTTACATTTTTAGATGGTCTGCTAGACAACCTAACAATGCCATGCAATTGGAGGTAAACGGACAGTGGTAACCATAAATAAACATGAGCAGGGCTATGTCTTACAGTTAATATGGTAGTTCATCAAAACTAACTACAATAGAATTATGGATCTTAAATCTTCCATACATCTGGTGCCTGTCTAGCTTCTATGAACCAAGGAACAGCCGGAATGAACACAAAGCAGTAACCCATACAACTAGAATCTACACTCGGCATTTCACAATGTTTTTCCAAGATTTTCTTTTGGAAATGGTTCAAAATACACTATGTGAACATGAGAGAATAGGCAGGCTAATGGCACATCAGATATCCAGACCCACAGAGAGATACTGCTGAGGCCAGGATCAACTTTGGTGGCCATCTGGTCAACATTGCCCACCTCCAGTAGTGACTTCTTGCAGGGGGGTGGTCGAAATCTTCTTCCTGCTGAAGTTATCCTTCACAGACTGTCGTAGCAGCAGCCAAAAGGTCAACGTATAGAGCAACTGCAAATGCAAAGGAAAGGGGAGAATGATGAGGAACAGACTGCTGCTAATCAAAGAGCATCCAAAATGTTTGGGTCACACGATATGGACGCAAGTTATTGAAAATGGCCCCTGATCCTCCACTCTCTGGAACTCTTGGTGCTCTCTCCTCACCATGGGTCCCAGGCGGAGGCAGGGGTGTGGGGTTCGGTCCAGGCCCAGCTGCTTCAGGCTCATAGTGCCCACGTTGTGGGGCAGCTCCAGCTCCAGCTCCATTCCCCACACGTACTGCAGGCTGCAGAGCGACAGGCCGTAGAGCAGGATGAAAGGCGAGCAGAGCGTGGCGAAGTGGCGGCGTGCCCGCACCATCCAGATCAGACATGCCCAGAGCAGCAACACGAAGGTCAGCCAGCTGTGGTATGTGATACTCCACACCTGGAGAAAGATCCACCTCATTAAAAGCCCTCAAACAGGCACAACAAATACCTCAGTGCTTAGACTATTGATGATTATGGTTTGAAAACAACACCATATTTCCTGTACTATTCATACCCCAATGATTATGAGGATATAATCATTTCACTCAGAATCACTTAAACCGGGGGTGGCCAGTCTTATCCGCAAAGGGCCGGTGTGTATGCAGGTTTTTGGGATAACCTTTATGTCAGCTGTTCAAAGCCAGGTGTGAGGACTCTTCATCCAATCAGTCATTTAATTAGTAATCTAATCAGGGAGTTGCAGCGAAAACCCGGAGACACAATGGCCCTTACTGGATAAGATTGGCCACCCCTGATTTAAATAACATAAAGCTTAAATCCTATAGAAGTAATTAACTGAAAGAAAATTTGAATTTTCAAAGCATGAGTAAATTTAAATTAAATGACTCTTACCATCATTGCAATCAGAGCACATACGTAGCTTTGTTGCATGATCATCCGACCCGCAATGAGAAGGGGATTATCCCCATCAGGTCCAGTGGGGGCGCCACTTAGATCTGGAAGAGAGTACAAGGGTAATTCAACAAGTCATTGGCGGAAAATGTTTAGATGGAGGCTTAAATTTCCCCCTAAAGTCTGGTCACCTAGGTCCTGCTGGCTGGAACCGTTGATTATATGACCCGTGGTGTTCTCAGATTCACACCTTGGCATTGGACTAGCAGTCAGCAGCATTTCCTAGAACAGGCAAGGGAACACGTGGTCTGCATGTGATCACAACTTTATACGGGATGAAAATGGTGAATTAAATAATAGTACGTCCACCATCACAACCATTAACTGCACGAAGACATGAACAACTCAAATACCAGAGGCTCCCTGGAATGGTACCGTTGTGCATGGATTACTTTAAGATACTTTGAGCCTAAATGTGCCTGACATAAAAAAGTAGCTCGCAAAAATAAATCACGAGCATTAAAACAGAACTCTTACCCACCTTACTATCATCTTGATCAGCCTTCCTCTGAGAACCCCGAGATCTTAACTCCACCTGCTCCATCCCTGTTCCAATGACCTCCATCCTGCTGCTGGACAGTGCTTCTCTGTCTCGCTTTCAAACGACAAAATGAACGAAGTTATGGAGTCCACTCCTGATCATGACCTCCTTCTTAATGTCATGTACACTGGTTGGCCAAAAAAAAAAAGTTGTGCCCTTTAACATTTCATTAGACCGCCCTTGGCACTTGGCATGGCATTGTTCCCATGAGCTTATGCAACGCCTCAACATTTATATCCATTCAGATTTGAATTCAGATCTTGTATTGATGACATGGAAGTTGAGACACTCCATAGTCTTCTCCAGCGCAAGGTTTTAATGCACTGGATATTTCTTAACCCAATTCCAATACATTCAGCTTGATACTTTATCTCCTTATTGTTCTTTGCTTGATGCCCAAATAATTTACCCCTTCTGAACATCATTTCCAGGACCATAGGATACATTTTCAGACGTAATTAAGGAGAAGCGCACAATATGAGTTAAAGTTAAAGGAATCATTGCCAGCTGAAACATATTAATCACTGGTTCTTAGGTATTTGCTTATTTAAATTCAAACAGCAACTTCTTTTTTGTCAGGCAGCGTAGATTTGGGTAAAATTACAAGCAGATACGCATATTTAACAGAGGCTACCAAGCTGAGAGACAGAGCATGGGTATGCTATGGCAATGCAGCATGCACGCTAACTTTAATATTCAAAAGTTTAAAGAACCTTTTCCGTGGACACATGACTTCCGATTTTAAACACCATCGCCATAGCGAAGTACAGCAGCAGGAGGATCCCGGGGTTTGCGAACACCGGCCACTCATGGTCCGTGTTCACGGTGAACTCGTAGGAAAATGACGAGCAGTTTCCTGGATTTAGAATTGCTTTGAGGCCGAAGAGTCTGTAGAAGACGAAGACAGAGAACACAGCCTGAAGGACCACCAAGCTAGCACAAGCATGCCTAGAACTCAACCTCTGTTAAGGGCCAGAAGCCTATGCCATTTGTGTAGGTCACCACAGTATCAGTCAACACATGGTGTGTCTATTCACTCTTAAAATAGGGTCAAGTGGTATGCCCAGAGTTGGCAGTCCTCTCCTGACTTTGGCCTAACATGGCGGTTAGCCATCTGGGTCAGGCAGTTGGGCGAGAATAAAAAAGGAAGTACTCCATCTTCCCATCTGTACAGCCCCGGCTACCTCCACTATGTCCCAAGTTCCCCCGCCAAGCAAATGCTGACTCTCGGGAGACGCCCTGGGGGACACGCCCTGGGGGACACGCCCTGGGGGACACGCCCTGGGGGACACGCCCTGGGGGAGATGCCCTGGGGGACACGCCCTGGGGGACACGCCCTGGGGGAGTCTCCAGTTCCGTCAACAGGAGGCAGATTTAGGAGGGCTCTGACCTCTGCCGTGGCTCTAGGAGAGCACATTCTAGAACATGCACAGCCAACAACATTCCAGGCATAGCTGCGGGCCGTGCAGCTCCGAGGTATGACAGTCCTCACAGAGACGGGCTGACTCACCTCATGGGAACATAAATGGTACAATAACCTTCCTCGTCATTGTTTCATAATTAACTGCATTTTAAAAAAATATAATTTACTGCACACAACATAACAAAAGTAGACAGATATTAATCCTTTTGACGCCTTAAGCACATCAATTGTTCAGTCCTCATGGAGCAGCTTTTCTCAGCCCAGTCCTCGGGGACCCCTGAACAGTCTGCATTTTTGTTTCCACCCAGCTGCCAGCCAATCACAAACACCGAATACCTGAGGACTAGGTTGCGAAACACTGTCAGTAAAGGAAAACAGTATGACCTAATGGATTACTCAGATGAACTCAAACACTCACCTGGCCCATAGGCTGGCTGGGGGGATCAGGCCTTGGGCGTAGGAGCTCTGGTACATGTACAGGCAGACCAGGTGTCCTGCTGTGTAGAAGCCCACCATGACACACAAGGCGTTAAAACCCAACCGGCTGATGGGGAAATGGCAGGCCCACCAAGTGCAGATCCCGATGAACAGCAGGTAGTACACAGCTGAGAAGGCGGACGGCAGGGTGATCCCTAATCACACACAAACACAAAGTCACACATTACTGACCTGCCGATAACTGCAGCTTCAGGCCAACCTTAGTGTATCTCAACCCAGTCCTGGGGGACCCCCAGACAGTCCACATTTCTACTCCCTCCCAACACAGCTGTACTAGGTATGCGTGATTATTTCATTCAGGTTTGCTGAGAGCTGGGCGGAAGCAAAAATGTGACCCCTCTGGGGGTTTCTGAGGACTGGGTAGAGAAACCATGTCACCTGTGTTGGCTGACATTTCAGAAAGTCAGGCTAAAGGGATAATATGGAGGATAAATCTGTAGCATCGGCTGTAGGTGACAGACTTGGGGAAGGTGAGATGCACCTGCCAGAACACGCTTACCAGCCAGAGCCAGGAGAACCACGGCCAGGACTCGGGCCAGGTCCCGGAGCAGCCTGAGGGCCGTGGTGCGGATACGAGCTGCTAGGAGCGCCGTACGCATGGCGTGGGGGGGGCTCTCCTCGGGCTCGCTGGATAACGCCTGGCATTCTTCATCTCCCCCCAGTTCATCTTCCTCCTCATCCTCTTCCGCTTTATGTTCCTCCTCCTACAACAAGATATGGTTCATATTCAGGCCTGTCTACAGATCTTCACGTTCAACAGCTCTATGTGAAATAAGCTTTGTTATCTAGGAAAGGAGATACAGAGTCTTTCATTATTACCATCACATAAACATGCTAAGGAATAAAAACTGCACACAAAATACAAGAAAATTACACATTTTGCGTCTTGATTACAAAAAAAAGCTATTCCCTCATTGCTAGAGACAAAACAACAATGATTTTCTACTACTTCTACAGTGGGACCTTGACCAAGGAGTGTTGTTAACAGAGATACAAGTGAATTATTTTGGTGTCAGAGCCTGCTGACTGCCTACATATTACAATGTGACCAGCAGAGGCCAGGTGCCATGAAAGAATGTACATAAACTCACGCCCCTCTGAGTTGGACTGAGTAGATAAGACTGGCGTTAATTCCCAGGCACGTAGCTGGCATAGTCCTGCTGACAAGCACTGCCAATCACAGTTAGACGTGACGACTACGGGTGATGCTCACAATGTCCCCCCTCGGCCCCCTAGATGTCACTGCCTGTCTGTCAGATTGTCATTCTTCCTAATTTCTTGTGTAAACATCCATCCATCTTCCAACCTCTTGTCCTAGTCTGTGCTGCCGGAGACGGGCCAGGAGTGCACACTGGACACACTGTCAGTCCATTGCAGTGAAAACACACGAACGCACATTTACACATCATGGACAATGTGGAGACACCAGTTAGCCTATCTGCATGGAAGAGACCGGAATACCCAGAGAACCCCCCCCACCCCACAATGGAGGCAGAATTCAAACCCGTAACCCTGGAGGTGTGAGGCAACAGTGGTACACATCATGCTACTACATTCCTCTGTAAACACCAAACCGGAATTTACGTAAGCACGTACGCCTTTGCTTCCTGCAGCGACCCACTGAATAGCATTCATTGTTTACTGGGGTCATATAGTACAAGGTTTCTCAACCCAGTCCACGGGGACCACAAGACGGTCCACGTTTTTGCTCTCTCCCAATTGGCAGGGAATTGGGAGAGAGCAAAAACATGGACCGTGTGGTGGTCCCCGAGGACCGGGTTGAGAAGCCCTGATATAGTACATTCTGTGCCGTTAGCATTGTCAGCAGCACTAAGCTCATCGTGACACTTCCTGTGTTCTAGGACCCCTCTGGCAAAGAATGAAGGACCGGCGGAGACATCCTGGCAGGTCATGTGACTGCAGACCTCTGGTATGCCGGTGGATATCTCAGGTAGGCCTGCTGCTGCTCAATCAGACATGGCCGTACACAGACGCACAGACGCCTGCCAAAGTGTTTGCGTTGGCTTGGCTCGCCGGCCTGGCAGTCGGCTGTTTTTCCACAGGCGGTATGAAGGGGGGGGGGGTATACAAAATAAATGATAAAAAGACGACACACAGGGAACTCTCCCCAACAGGTGAAAAAACAAGCTAAACAGTCCACGGATGCACACACCCTCCATTTTATTGATGTCGGAGGCTGGACAATGTCTGTAGGAACCGACGACAAGACGGCACAATCGAGACCTGGATATAAAGGAACAGTGTCACGGAAACAGCAAGCAAAACATTACACACAAAAACCTGCTCAGGTTATTTGCAGGCAGTCCCCAGGTTAGGAATGTGTGACATAGTAACAAATCGTACTTACGAGAGGACTAACATAAAGCGTATAGTTTTAAAAATTCAGGGTAAATACAACGCTCATGAAAATATACGGCTTCAGAAGTTTGTCAGCTCGAGGTACAATACAATACTGTTATTATTAATGTTCTGATTTACCTAGAAATTCTACTTAAACATATACCTGTCAGCAGCTAAACGACTCTGCATTTCAGACCAGGTGATCCATCTGAAGCTAAACAGGTTTGGGCCTGGCCAGTACTTAGGTGGGAGGCCAACTAGGAAAGCTGGGATTCTGCTGGAGGAGGTGATGGTGTGGCCAACAAGGGAGCCCATCGGGGGGGTCAGTGTGGGTCCCAGTGCCCCAGTGCAGTGACAGGGATGCTGTGCTGTAAAAATGAAGCTGTCCTTTGTATGAGACGTAAAACTGAGGTCCTGACCCTCTGAGGTCATATATGATCCCTGGACATAGGGGGATGGTCCCCTGATGCCCTGGGTAAAATTGCCCACTGTGGCCCATTCTAATCATCCACTATATCTAATCGGTGAATTCTCTCCTGCCCCTTTAGTTACTGTGTGGTGAGCATACTGGTGCAGAATGGCTGTCACTGCATCGTCCAAGTGGGTGCTACACAGTGGGGGTTGCAGTGGCTCCTGTCGGTACTGTAATGTGCATTTTAAGTGTTATATACTGTAAATGTAATATTCATTCACTTTATCTTGTTTGTAACCTGAGGACTGCCCATACTCTCATCGTAAATAAGAGATCAAAAACATTAAACTACTTAATAGCTTAGGAAATACTCAACTGTAATTTATCCTATAATATTTTATTTTACTCTACAAAATCGAAATCCACCTCTGCTGTGTGTGGAGTTTGCATGCCTTCCCCCTGTCAGACGGGTTCCTCCTGCAGTCCACTGGCATGCAGAGAGGGTAACTGGCTAACTGGCATTACTAAATTGCTCATGGTACCCCAGCCTTCTGCTGCCTGGGAGAGGATCCAAGCCCTTCCCCTGACCCTGAACGGGATACGAAGTTGGGAGGTGGATGGATATTCCAAAACAATCCAGATTTCTACACCCCATATACAAGATCTTTCCACGTATAAATTCACATAATGCTGCCTGCCCGCTCCCTCCCTCTCTCTCACTGCGTCACTGCGTTTTACAGGCCTGGTACTCCCAGGCACTGCAAGCCTCCCCCAGTAACCATGCAAAAGGTACAAACCCTGGAACAAGCAGACAATGTGCAACTGAAAACACTGAAGAAGCTTGGCAGGGAAACCACAGATACAAGACATGGCCAAATCCCGAGTGGCTGACTACCTAGTTTCAGGGTACATTTCACTACATGTTGTACTTGTATAACCATGTATGTGACGGATAAAGTATCTTGTATCTTGCTTTCTTTATCCTGTTAGGCGGAAGGAACATCTGACTGTCCATTACATTCCCAGTGGGAACGCCATGGGAACTGTGCTTAGGGGTCAGCTGCTATGCTTCCTGCCCAGCCCCCGCTTCTCCCACATGGCCACTCCCTCCCCCACTCACACACAGTCCTCATGAGCTGTTGGAAGACCTACCAGTGTCAAGGCCAATGATCATCAGTCTAAATGGACACCGTGATGGCAGAGTCCCCAGCACACAACAGTCCTGAGGGCAACATTCAGACACGCCCACCAGCAATTACCACGCACATAAGCAGCCAGTAATCAGCTGTGTATACAGACAATGTCTTCTTTGCTTGAGTTAGCCAGAGCCATTCGTCCAGCTTGGGAGCCAGTTTGAACTGCACTAGTCATCTCACACATAAACCAAGCGGAGTCTGAGAGGACAACACTGACGGGGAATTAGCTTCCATGGGAACAACGCAGCAGCATGATATCATATCCATGCCCTTCGACACAGATGCGCTGCTCCCATGCAGATGCTAATGTAAACTGCGTAAAGCTTCAATATACGAACATCCCCCCCCCCCCCAGAGTCAAAACAGATCTGAGATCAGTGGGAGACCTTTAACAGAGAATGACTGCACGTCCTGCTTTCATCAGCTCCCCAGGCAATCGTAAGCACTAGCAGCAGTGCTGTACACGTGTGTGCTGGCACGTGGGTGGGGGATCTTTCTGGGCTCCCCCTATCCACTGCCGGGCTGTGCAAAGCTGAACAATAGTGATAACTGAAGCCAGATGAGGACTTAGGCTTGGCCTGCTCCCTAATGGAACATAGCCTAGGGTGGCACGGATCCAGCATCCACATCAAAGCCTGCCCACGGACCACCTCCGCAGGGGCAAACTGCGTAGAACGGGCGCACGGTTCAGATGCAAGGTCCGGGCAAGGAACCTGGGGCCAGTATCGATCCATACGGGCCTCTTGGTGCGGTGCACTTATGCCGATGACACATTCACCCATCGTTTAATTCATTATTTCACACTGGCAATAAGGCATGACTCCCAACACCTGCCAGGCCCGTAATTTACAAAGGATTTTATAAGTGAAAAGAAGCTGAGACAACAAGATCACCTAAGAGGTGTATATTTTTCAATTTAACATCAGTGAGGGGAAATGGTTTCCACATATTTCTGTCTACAGTACAATAGGCGAGGGGGGAAAAAAATCATTAATTGTCCTAATAAAGTGTTCTATTTTTCTGCGCTACCAATAACTGGGGTGGTGTTTGTTTCTGCGGTTGCCTTGGTGACGGAGAGGGACGCCACAGCATGCTTTGGCAGCCGCGCCGGGCGCGCGCGGGAACACGTGGATGAACGGGCGGCCGAGAGAAAAGGGGGGGAGGGGTGAGAGAGAGAGAGAGAGAGAGAGAAAGAGAGGATGTCTG